CAACTCAGTGTGCAATACACTGTTCCTCCCCAGTTCCCAGTGATCAATTTCCCTTCAATCTTTCAGCCTTCTGTGGCCTTTGTTATTTATGACCCACTTTTGTAACTTACTCCTTGCTTTTCTTCCTTTTACCTTTTTATGACTTCACAGACATCTTCCTCTATTATCCAAAAATAAACTATATTTTGATAGATTACACACTTGTCCACAGCGTTTAGCGCAGTTATTGAATTATTGACTTATTTATTTTTTGCGGTACTGGGTTTGAACTCAGGGCCTTGTGAGTTACTACATTATGAATTAAGTACATTTGGTTTCAGTCAACATTGTATCATGTTTGAAACACAAACCTGTATGTACGTACATTCGCAAACACAGTTATCTTCTCAAGGCATAAATACTATTCTTGTATTTTAAGAATCTAATCATATCCATTTCAAAAATAGCATTTATTATTATAAACATACTCTAAAAATTACACAGTAAAGGCATGACTTTTTTTTTTTGGTGGGACTGGAGTTTGAACTCAGGGCTTCCTGCTTACAAAGCAGGCTTTCTACCACATGAGCCACACCTTCAGTCCATTTTGCTCTGGTTACTTTGGAGATGGGGTCCTATAAATTACTTGCCTGGGCTGACCTCCAACCATGATCCTCTCCATCTCAGCTTCCCAAGTAGCTAGGATTACAGGTGTGAGCCATCAGCACCTGGCTGTGAAGCTCTTAAATCAATGCGTCTGCCTTTCAATCCAGCCTCTGTCACTTTATTAGCTGTGTTAGTTTGAGTAAGTTAAATTCCCTGACCTCAGCAAACTTGTGTTAATAGGACTAAGGGGCTGGTGGCATGACTGCAATGGTAGAGTGCTTGCCTATCATGCTTCAGGCCATGGGTTCAGTCCTCAGTTCCAATAATAATAATAATGATAGTAAATAATAAGACTAAGCACTGGGATATTACAAAAATAGAATGAATGAGGTAATAGATATTTCAAACAATGTCTGACTCACGGTGAGTGCATACTAAATAGCAATGTTAATAATATTACATGTCAATCATTATTATAAAGAGTAGTGAAAGCAGATGTAGAAGACTAGTTGGGAATGGATTTGTCTACAAAGTATGTGATAAAACTGAAATTTATCTTAAACCTTTTAACAATATTAAATCAAACATATAATTAGAACTCACTATATATCATATTATTCAACAATGATGAATTTTGGCAGCACATATAAATAGCTCAATGATAGAGAGCTTCCCTAGCATGCAGGGTTTTTTTCTGGAAAAAAACATGCAAACACAAATGCAAAAGGGAATGCTTCATTATTTACTGCAGATTTCTCTTCACAAGGTTCTTTTTTATATCTGATGCTCCTTATTAATTTTTCCCAGCTCAAGCTGCAGAAACTTCTGATGAATAAAATAAGAATACTAGTAATTATCTTAGGGCTGGGGGACTGGCTCAAGTGGTAGAGGATGCCTAGCAAGCCTGAGGCCCTGAGTTCAAACCCCAGTAACAACAACAACAAATCATTATCTCGCCTAATGGATCTTAAATTACTTAATCCCAGGAGAAACACCATTTCATTGTCTATCTCATACATATTAAAAACAAAAAAAAAAGAAACTTGCCAAGCAACTGCCTGAAGCTTTTTTATATTATCATGTGCCTTACAAAGATTTGGAAAGTGGAATTGCAAAAGAGCTGAGACAGCAAACTTCTGGAGAAAGACTGTTCTGGAGAAATACGAAGTATATTCTAAGGAGCAAGTGTCAATCTTGGGGTAACTTACTCCAGTGAAATGCAGTGAACGCTCCTGTCTAATGGATTGGAATCTATGGGGTGATGAGGAAAGAGCTGCCCTTTAAACAACCCTCCCCTTACCCCTGGGTGTTTTTTGTGTGCTTTCATTTTAAGAATAAATAAGGAATAAAGAAACACAAAGGGGTGATTGAAAAGGCCTTGTGTAGGAGGTGAGTTCTGAGCAAATTTCAAGGAGGGTAGGAACATTAACTGGTAGGGAGGAGTGAAGAAGTCATGCCCAGCCAAGAGAATGGTATGTGAGAGAGATAATTCAGTTTCAAGGTGTTTCAGCTTGGAAGGCAGACAGAGGTGACCATGCTTGTTCTCAGGAAGCAGCACAGGAGACAGACAGGACTGGATGCCCAAATCCATGCTGACTGAAAATACCAGGCTTACATCATTTCATTCTTTGCCCAGTTTCTCATAGTGTTTTCCTTACTCACTTTGGAAATAACAGTCTCCAAAGAAGTCGGTAACAATTGACAGAGAAGAGGACCAAAACAACTTGAGGTAAGGGAGGTTCTTTTGTTTGCAATACATAAGAACTGAAGGAGCCAGGCGCTGTGGCTCACGCCTATAATCCTAGCTACTCAGGAGGCAGAGATCGGGAGATCACGATTAGAAGTCAGCCTGGAAAAATAGTTCTCAAGACCCTATCTCGAAAAAACCCATTACAATGCAAAAAGGGCTGGTGGAGTGGCTCAAGGTGTAAGCCCTGAGTTCAAACCCCAGTACCACAAAAAAAGAAAGAAAAAATAATTGAAGGAAAAAAATAAAACAGTAATTTTGGGGTTTTAACCAATTATAGTCAAGCATTTATAAAGATAGAACTTTGATATAAGGAGGACTTTCTTTCACAATAGTGGAGTGAAAAATAAATAATTTGCCGGGCATCAGTAGCTCATGCCTGTAATCCTAGCTACTCAGGAGGCAGAGATTGGAGGACTGTGGTTTGAAGCCAGCCAGGGCAAATAGTTCACAAGATCCTATCTCGAAAAAAACTATCACAAAAAAGGGCTGGTGGAGTGGGTCAAGGTGTAGGCCCTGAGTTCAAACCCTAGTACTGTAAAATAAATAAATAAGTAAGCAAGCAAATTTGGAATTTTAGTCAAATTTAGAATAGAAGTGTAAACTATGAAATTTCAATAATGTAATCAGTTTCCGCATCTATAAAATGACTGAGACTAAATGCCTTTTATCATACTGTATAGCTCACATTTCTTAAACTGTATAATATGTAAATTCCCCAAACTTGAACATACTAGGTTGCTTAAAAATTATAATGTAAGCTTGTTCTGATAATCCTAATGACCCTGAAATGTTAGAATATCAATAGCTACATCCCATAAACAATTCAGCAGTACTATTTTCAGACTTCCTGTTATTATGTGTCCTGAATAAATTAAGAGCAAAAGTAATTATTTTCTCTGACTTAGATTGCTAATATGAATAGCACAGAGTATACCCACTCACCAAGGAGGCATTATACAAGGCCACCCAATCTTAAATCCTGAAAGTCTCATAAAAATCACAGAAACATCACCAGCTAAGCAGTACATACAACACTAACCACAGCTTGCTGCCAATCACTTTCACTGTGGTGCTGTGGACAAAACCCAGGATCTGGTATACGCCAGGCAATTACCACTGAGCTCCACCCCAGCACTGACAATCTTAAATCATGAAATATCTGGATTAAATGAAAAATCTGAGATATTGATCTATTATGCAAAACAGGCAGCATTAGCTGGGTGTGGGGGGTGTGTCTGTATTCCCAACATTCTGGATGCTAAGGCAGGAGGATTGAGAGTTGGTGGCCAGGCTGGGCTACAGAGCAAGTTCTAGGCCAGCCTGGGGATATAGTTCCAGACAGACTCTTGTCTCCAATAAAACAAATTAAAACCAAAACCAACCAAACAAACAAAAACTCAAAAAACCAGGCAGCACTGTTTTACAATCTGAATGTCACCGTGTTATCTACCTCATTTGTTAAGTAGTGAAGCACTTCCTGCCACTCTTAACTGTGTACCTGATATACTTTCTGTTGCTGTAAGAGACACTACAAGCACTATCCATGGGAACAAGATTTTCCCTATATTGAAATTGAATGTGGCCAGTTAGCTTATCACAGTGGAGTGTGACAGAGTGTGTATTTATCAATGTGAGAGGATTTTGTGTAATGAAAGAAAAGAAAGAAAAAAAAAGAGTAAGTCTGCTTCCCTAGATTCTCCATAATTCTGCACTTTCTTCTTAAGACACTGGTTAGCAAGGCCAGCACATCTTACAATTAAGTCAGAAAAAGCAAGCCTATTACTCTAAAAATAAACTTCAATTCTACCTGATAGAGCTCTAGTTTTTAAACCTAAGTAACTCTTATGGACCATGGAGAACCCAAAAGTGGGAGGCCAAAGGAAGTCGACAAAATAAAAACGATCACCATTAAACAAACAAACAAAAAAACTCAATCCCGATTTTCAGGCTGACCCTACTATCCCATTCGTCATTGTTATAAGCCCAAGCCCTAGCTTCAAGAGTAACTTTAAATGGGGCATTTTTTACAGTTAATGCGACAGTTAACACTGCGGCGCTTCAACACTGGCTCTACAGACCAGAGATCCAAAAGACAAACTTTGCGTCTCTCAGCAAATTAGCAACCACGTCCCTTAAAAACAGAACTCAGCCTCTGCTCCACTAACTTCCATAATGGGCAACTTTTCTTTAAAATTCCTGACTTCATTGCTTGGAACTGGCGTGTTTGTTTCAGAAGCACACTCGTGCTTTGCAAACACCATCTCGCAAGAAGGCTAAGGACTTTTACCTACGTCTGCCACAGGATCGGTTTGGGAGACGCACCATGAATGGTGTCGGAACTGGGTGTTAGCTACCAACTGACTAATTTAAGGCAAATCCACTTATGGTGGGCATCGCAGGAGCTAGAGCGCTTTAGAAACTCAACCAGAGTCCCGTGCGAAAATGCTGCTGCTCAAAAGCGCTTCCTTTGGGTTCTAAGAAGGGCACCACTAGGAAAACATATGTAAAGGCCAAGTCCCTGGGATTTCCCCCACCCCCACCCCAAGAAGGCCTGTGTGCGGGTGGGGTGGGAGCCTGCGCTAAGACGTTTTGGCGGGGAACCGGCGACTTACAGACTGCAGAGAACTAACTCCGAGATCAGCGGGGCAGGCAGAGCGAACCTTACCTGCCAGCGGCCATAGGTGAGGAGGACCATGGCGATGGGGATGGCGGTGCCGGACATGGCGTGGGTGGAGGGCATGCTGTACTCGGAGTTATAGAAGACCTCCAACTTGACCACGGGCGGCGAGGCGGGCCGCGGCCAGCGGATGATGTCCTTGGTGCACTGGCCCAGGTACATGACCAGCACCCAGATGATGACGAGCCTCCGGCCCACCAGCAGGTCCAGGTTCCAGATCCAGAAGGGGAAGAAGAGGATGTAGAAGAGCTCGTTGCCCAGCTCCGTGCCGAAGCAGAACAGGTAGTAGAGCAGCCAGTTGCTCACGCGCGCCGGCTGGCCCTCCTCGCCCGTCAGCGAGTTGCGGCGCAGGGAGCCCGCGCGCCGCGCCGAGGCCGGGCCCGGCTCGGCCGCCAACCCGTTCTGCACGCCGTTGGGGGCGCCGCCGCCGACCGCCTTGGCCCCGCACGGATGGCGGTCGTTTCCCGGCGGCTGGGGGCCTCCGGTCGCTCCGGGCTGCCGACCTCGCCGCCGGGGGTCTCCGGAGAGAAGCGGTGACGGCTCCGCCTTCTCATCCGCCCTCGGGTCGGCTGAGCGGCTCGGCGGCGCTTCCACTCCGCACAGACGCTGGAAACGGGCCACTTTCTGCGGCTCCTGCAGACGGCAGGCCAGCTGGACGAGGTGCTGCCTCAGCGACATGTTAACGGGACCCGCGGGACGGCGAACCGGTCCCGCCACCCAGCGCTCCCAGCGCAGCCCCGAACCGTCCCCGCGCGCCTGGCACCTCGCTCCACTCGCTCTGGCTTGGAGAGAGTCCTCGCCGGTGACGGCGCCACAGGCC